GAGAGAGAGAGAGAGAGAGAGAGAGAGAGAGAGAGAGAGAGAGAATCTTCGACGTATGCACTTCCCGCAAATTACCAGCGTAACGATTCAACCCGTATATACTCACTCCGCCTAATATGAGATGACATATGACCGGATAGGTGATACACCAGATATGTCGGCCTGATGACCATGGTGATGCATGCTGCTTCTCACGCTGCTGGGGTGTGCATAGCTCCAGGGCTGTGACATAGCAGACCGAAGGGCTATAGTTCTAGAGTTAGGGTATGTATGTCCGTATGTATATTGGCAACGGGGGCAAGTTCGTAACGCTATCATAGTACATATAAACTGTACTATATATAATCTCATTTCATTAGATTTCATAGATTTCATTGTTCATATTATATGTTAAAGTATATTATGCATGCATGCGTGCGTGCGTGCGTGCGTGCGTGCGTGCGTGCGTGCATGTTAGTCACATTACAGTTTATAAATAGATGGTAGTGTGAGCGTGGAACAGACTTTATTCTCCTACCAGTGGAATTACCAGGATTACCAGAACTACCCACATGCAACCTTATATAGGGTTTATGTGCTCTCGTGTACTCTCTTGGTAGCACCAGCTATTAGCACTGCTGGCCGGGCTGGCTGGCTGGGATGGCGCGGTAACACCCAACACCGCAACATGCGGCCGTGTTATATAAGCAGCCACTGGTCACAGGCCCAGGCTGGGTGTGCCACCGCGAGCAACATGTGCGAGCCATCAGCAGCAGACAGCTGGACAGCGATGAGTAATGGCTGGTGTCAGTGGTTTCACGTACATTGCGAAACGAAACCAATCACACACGCAACGGGATCATAGCCACGGCCGCGTAACAGAGCAACGAGCGTTGTTTTCGTTTGTCGTACATAGATGGCGCGCGAATCGACCGCGCAGCCAGGGCGTAGATTGTACTACTACTACCAGGAGTAAGATAATATAGGATCCTATATTATCTTACTCCTGCTACTACTAGTACTAGTACGAGGCTACGCACATTTCGTTACATCGCCCGATCAACTTACTGGGAGTTTTATGTTGCTGTGCCGTGTTGTTGTGTGAGGTTTTTTTCAGTGGACGAATGTTTTTTGGTCTGTGTGTGTGTGTGCCTGCGTGCGTGCGTGCGTGCGTGCGTGCGGGCATGGGAGAGGAGAGGAGAGAAGAGAGAGGGGGAGACAGGTTACTGAAGCACGAAGGGTCGTTGTCGTATAATGGCGTATAATATGTACCCGAGGTAACTATTTGATATGGTTAGGGTTAGGGTGTTAGGGTTAGGGTTAGGGTTAGGGTTAGGGTTAGGGTTAGGGAGTAGGCGTAGGCGTAGGCGACATACTCGTTACTGAACACCATTCAGTTTTCCTTTGTAAGTTCAGTATATAGATGTGTCTAGATGTTGCTTATGATCGAGCACCTCACAGAATTGTCCCCGATACCGAAAGTCAATGTTTTCACGACACGTGCCATAAAAAGATCACAGAAGAGATCAGAAGAAAGACATCAACGAGACATAAATGTGTGCTTGGGTTGCCACATATTGTTTACCGTGCATGCTCGAACACAAGACACCCATCATCACGCATGTGATTCTATGCATCATTTGAACCATATTAATCAAAATTGAAAGACGATAAATCACCATCGTTTGTTTGAACACGTGACAGCAACGTGTGCATGCACCGATCGGTTAGTCGATCCCTGATAGGAAGCGAGCAACAAGTTTTTACGGCGTCTTTCCTCCATCTTTTAATCCCCGGATGGTGGGGGGGCGTTTTCATTAAAAGATCGCATGTGTATATGAAACATTTATATCGCGAGAAATATTATCCACTTTCAAACAAACCTGTATATACGGAGAGATGACAACTTAATGTCACAAACATAACGTCAGTGCCCAGAAAACCATCAGGGCAAATAAATTGTATCCGAATTTCGAAATGAGAATTAAAGAAAGCGACGGGCTGGCCATTAAACGGGTCATGTTCGCCCGGGCTCCTAGGTTAGCAACTGTGAGGCATCTGGTTTGCATTTATCGGTCTGTCACTATCCGGCCTGAAAGCTGCCATAAGCCAGCAAGATGACATGCTGACTCACAACTGAAAATACACTAAGACACTATCCATCGCGGGGAACATGAGCTTCACGCTGGCAAGTGGCCAATTTAGGACACGGCTGTTAGCGTGTGCGAGGAGAGAGAGAGAGAGAGAGAGAGCCAGAGCGCAAGAGTGAATGAAAGTCTGACAGATAGCCGCCCAGTTACTGCAGACATAACCCATCTGGTGTTAACGAGTAAAACTACTTCTACCCTGCTCCGCCAGACGCACGCAGCACGGACGACGTCGTAGGCGCACCGACGCGCGGATAACGCGGGTGGTAAACTCTGCAGCAGTTTTATTGGCTGATGGCTCTCGTATAGCTCCGAGCCATTGAAATTGTATCTGCACTTTATACTAGTTCGCTAACCAATTTATGCCATGTAAACTATCAATTAGGCAAATAAACCTACAAGTTAAAACTGTATAAAACAAAGTATAATACGAATGCATAATAAATCAAGATATTACAATCATCATGACATCTTCTAGCATCATTCTCAATTCGTCTTATAACTTACTAGTGTAATTTCAATTCCGAAAATAGAGAAAATAATATACGGTCATAGTTTCAAGTTCAATTTCTCCGACATAGTATACGGTAGTAGACAAGAAAATACCTGTCTTACGTAGGTAGTACATAAATCTCATAACTACTAACCTCCGTGCCTTCTTCATGTCGCTCACAAACAACAAAACCTACATTCTTCCTTGTCTTAAGTTTAGCCCACAGGCACGATAACCGTGTTGCAACCACATTATAGGTATAACCTGACAAACGGGAGTTTGCCACTAAATTCGACGCACAACAAAGAAACAGACATCGCCGAGCCTGCCTAAATGGCTTTATAAAGGTCAACATCCGGGTGCCTTTGCAACAAGTGATTCACTCAATCGATCAACTTTCCCTATTCGACAACAAACTTAACATGTAGTAAACATAACAATAAACTCCATGTTCTTTTGTAGGGGAAAGTACTTCGATAAACAAAATGTTCATGTGAATAAACTCTTATTTTATAAAAAGTTTTATTTTAAGATCAACTGCACTGTTCTATACATATACAAAACATTCCAATTTTTCGAAACACCATGTCAAATAATGTGTCAGATAAACTCACTGTAAACTGTAACAGTTTAACTGTAACTGTAACAGGTAAACTGTAAAATGCCTGTAGCTTCTCTGCATAATTTCTCTTCTATGCAGTTTCCCTACGTGATTCTGAAAAGGAGGAACACAAAATTTTAATAAGGTTTACTATTTACAAGGAATACGACTACAATTTGTTTGATCAGGGATCAATCAATATATTTCATGTATATATGTTTAAAATTTACCAAAATCGTGGGGTGATACTCCATTAGGAGCATTCCAAACTTTAATATTATTAATGGTTAGGGTTAGGTTATAGGTTAGGTTAGGTTAGGGTTAGGGTTAGGTCTACATATAACGTATAACTACATATAACGACATTAATTAGGTCACACCATTAATGATATCAAAGTTGGGAACACTCCTAATGGAGCGTTAGCCAAATCGTGCAAATTGAGGTCCTGCAATTTCGTTTGCATACTTTCTGTAGGTTTTCCCACTGTACGACGCTCTTCCTCCTTCCAACGCATTATGTCCTCATTTGACGGTTTCACTAAAATGTATATACACTACTCTTAACTGCTTAGTGTCAATTTACGACATATATGAATGACAAAGATTATGAGTTATCTATTAAAAAAAAGTAATGCAATGAGTCAGTTAGCATTTATGATTTGCCGTGAGTATAGTTTATAAAAAGTAAGTTATAGATTACCTTCTAAGTTTGGCGTGTTGCATTTCTGAGTTCTCCTCACAAGTAGGTATAGATTCTTTAGCTTTGGCCTTTAGCAGCCTCTTCAAAAAATCCTTCCTGTGTCAAAATAAATTTAATTTGATAAAGCAATGTTTTAATTAATTATAGCTGCTAGGCTAGTACAGTAAACGTAGTTAACGAGAGACACTATAAACATATACAGAATTTAGGTTATTGACAAATAACATAGATACCTGGTAACGTGCTACTATAATTCTACCACACGACATATTTTTGTTTATAATTCTACATTATAAAGTGAAGATATGTAATATGCCTAAACGGAATGCAATACGTAATTCAAGGTTAATACCATGTAAATACAGATATACCTTGGCTTCTCTCCAAAATGAAGTAGGTGCATCATCTAAAAGGCAGGTTTTCGGTGACTAGGCGTCATTCGTTTGTCGATTCTTACTGTGAAAGCGCCTTAAGTAAAGACGCAAAGCTTTCCACACTTGCGCCCGTTAGTAAGGGCCACTGCCCCGGTCAGTCCTCCTTGTGGGTTGGGTACTGAAGCCTATTTAATTAAAAGTAAATATTATGATTGTTGTTTCGCTACTCCGAAATACTTAGTTTAAAAATGTTTGGTAGCAAGAATGCATTTGTGTTTTTTGTCAAAGCATTAGCAATTAAACTGATGCGTGGTTATCTAAACAATATCGCCTAGATGAAGACTTCTTTATAAATATAACACATTCATGGTAGCTGGTAAGG